TTTTTTTAATTTTTATTTATTTATTTATTTATTTTGAGACAGGGTTTCTCTGTGTAGCTTTGGAGTCTTTCCTGGAACTCACTATGTAGACCAGGCTGGAGATCTACCTGCCTCTGCCTCCTGAGTGCTGGGATTAAAAGTTTCAGCCACCATTACCCAGCTATATATGGTAATTTTACACACTATTTTTAGTATGCTTGAGTTTTGACTGTAACCTGACACATGGAGGCAAATGTAGAATCACCCACTTCTGTTCACTCTTAGCTCTCTAAAGGCTTCCGATTTGGAGCATTTTGCATTTCAGGTTTCTGAATCAGGGGTGCTCACCTTCACTGAGAGACGGTTGATTGAAAGAAGAAAGCATGGGGGTATACAGCAAAGCAATGTAGGAAGAGAAGATGGGAAAGATAGATCAGGATGTGCTCTGGGAGGGTCTCCTTGGATGTCAGAAATCTGAACTTGACTTGTCAGGAAATAAGGAAAGCCATGAAGGTCAAGGTAGTCCGGACCCAGAACAAAGCCATGCAAGAAAGAATTACAGGACTTTGGTGTCTGTACCAAAATCCCTGTCAATCACTGTGACAGGCTGGAGGAGATGTGGTGAGCCAGGGAGCAGCTGGGCTCATGGTATCCATCTATGTAAGTGAGTGCTTTATGATTCTATGTCTTGGTTTGTTTGCTTATCTCATGTCTCACAAGGCACAAGTAAGAGTTTAGGAAGAGAACGGGTCAGGCAGCATAGAGAGGAAAGCCTCTCTTATGTCCTGTAGAACTTGCAGGTTAAAGCCAGGTGCTTCCCAGCACAGCCCAGTTGAGTGTGAAGAGCAAAGGAATGCAGTACTCAGCCAACAGGGCAGCAGCCAGGCCGTCCCATAGGTCCTGAGGCTTTCTCTGCCCTCATCCCCCTCACTGGCATGATTCAGCCAGGTTGAACTTCGTTGTGTTTTGGCACAGCTTACCCAGCAGTTTAGCAGTGAGACTCCCTGCAATATGAAGGAGTCTCACCCCACCAGAGCCAAAGGCTCCAGGCCTCCCTGGAGGTTCTTTCTAAATGTCTTTAGTAAGCTTACACGTGGCACACAGACCCTATTAGCCTCTTACCACATTTCTTACAAACCAAACCCACTGGTGGGCAGAACAGGAAGATGTCTGGCCGCCAGCCAGACAGTAAACAATAGAGGCAATTATTATGCAGCCATTAATCTTGTCAATTACACATTAACCCAGTCGGTGTGTATAAAGGGGGCACAATCTTCCTTTAAAAAATGTATGTATGTATATATTTTACCTCGTCTCTTTCTTTGCTTTTTATTCACCATGAAAGAGAAAATTTAAAAAAGGACTATATTGCTATACTCAACCCAACTTCTCCATTTTTTGAAACAATCACACCAGCATGAAAATTCCTTTAGCAAGAGTGTTGATTGTATCTTTCAATGTTTCTCTGATGGCTGATAATGTAGTAGTGCTGAGTATTCAGGAAACTGATTTTGTTGCTTTCTGTAAACCCTTTCCTCTTTCACTTTGAGTGTTTCAGTCAAATGGGCTACATTAATATAAATGTTAGCTTGATTAGATGATATAATGATTGGCAGAATAAAGCAGAGTTTGAAATCTTTTTCTACTAGATATGTTTAAAACAACCTATTTTTTGTTCATCTTTGTCTGAGTAGGTGTTACCCAAAGACATCCTTGCCCATTTGAAAACCCAGAAGTTGGCTTTGTGGTCTAATAAAATAAAATAAAATAAAATAAAATAAATAAAAAATGCGCAGAGCAGTCTAGAAGCAGCTCAAACTAACCTTATTCAGGGTGGTGGTGAGGAGGCAGTTTCTCTTTGGAGACTCCAGTCTTTCTCCTCTGCTCACACCCCCGTTAGTGCCCTTGACCTTCCTATCCCTCCTTCTTTTCAAAACCAGTTCTAAGAAATGACCCATGTCAAGCCATTTATTTCTTCGAGGGCATTAATGAGCTTGGAGAATACTTGTTCTGGCTATGTTTATGTTGTAAGCCTTATCTTTCCTTGTGGAATGAGAAGAATTTCAGGTTTTGGATAATAACCCAAAGTTCAAGTTTTTTTTTTAAGTTCTGCTCACATGGTGGTGAGACAAATAACTTGTTGTTGGCAGGAAGGGCAGTTCTCAGTGGGCACTCTTCACAGAGTTGAGTGGCTGCTTGTTGCTCTCCCTTTTGTGTAACTAACCACAAAGGACAGGGTATGAGGGCAGGGTGGACGGGGCAAGTGGAACAGAAGGAATCCAAAATGTTACTTTCTAAGACATCTGAGACCTATTTAAGTAGAGCCCTAATGCCTGGCAGGTCAGAGGACCCAGGGATGTGGAAAGACAGACATATCAATTGAAAGTGAACATCAGCTTCTTCCTTTTGATGGCAGGAGAGCAGCCTAGGAGACCTCTCATGTTCTAGGGGATTCAGGCATCTTAGAGTGAAGTCCCGCTCCATTAGCTGTCAGATTTGGTTCATGCATACAGGGTGGCATAATGTTTTCATTCAACTCATCTCAATCCTATCTCTAGTTCTAATAAATGTTAAGGCTTTCTCCCACAGCACCCCCAACTCAGTATTGGAAGAATGAGAGGGCTGACTCATCACTGAGGTTCCTTGTAGCACTAAATTCCAATGATCTTGGATTAAGTAGTGTAACTTAATATGTTGTTATTCAAACGAAAATGCTTAGGGTCAGGACACTGGTGAAAGGTAAGAGGCCAGAATACAAGGGATAGCAGTCATTTTCCATGGCTTGTTTCCTCCTAAATTGGAGCAATTACAGAGTCAGGGGAAGAAGCAGAAGCTACTGGTGGC